AATACTACTATTACTCAAATTTACATACCAATCACTAAAGCCAAAGATGAAGAAAATGAAGATTTTTACCAGTTTCTGTAGTCTGAAATTGACCGAACATGCAATCAAGATGCATTCTTTATTATGGAATGCGAAAGTTGAAAACAAAGAAAAATCGCTGGTAGTTGGAAAATATGGCCTCAATGATAGAAATGATGCTGGATACCACATGACAGAATTTTGCAAGACCAATGCCTTAACTCACTGCAAATACCTTTATTCAACCATATAAATAGTGGCTATACACGTGGACCTCACCAGATGAGATACACAGGAATCAGATTGACAATATCTGTGGAACGAAAAAATGGAGCAGCTCAATATCTTCAGCCAAGACAAGGCAGGAGCTGACTATGCAACAGACCATCAATTACTCACATGCAACTTCAAGTTGAAGCGGAAGAAAATTAAAATCCATGAGAGCCAAAATATGACCTTGATTATACCCCACCTGAATGTGAAGAACATCTGAAGAATAGAATCAATACATTGAACACCAATGACCGAAAACCAGATGGATTGTGGGATGACATGAAGAACATACATGAAGAAAGAAAAAGACCATTAAAAGGAAAGGAAGAAAAGACCAAAATGAATGTCAGAAGTGACTCTGAAACTTGATTGTGAATGGAGAGTACCTAAATGGAATGGAAAAAATGACAAGATAAAAGAACTGAACAGAAAGTTTCAAAGAGCAGCTAGAGAAGACAAAGTCAGTTATTATAATCAAATGTGCAAAAACCTGGAGTTAGAAAACCAAAAGGGAAGAACACATTTGACATTTCTCTAGTTGAAAGAAATGAAAAAACTCAAGCCTCGAATTGCAATACTGAAGGATTCTATGGGCAAAACACTGAATGATGCAGGAAGCATCAAAAGAGAATGGAAGGAATATAGATAGTCACTGTACCAAAAATAACTGGTCAACATTCAACCATTTCAGGAGATAGCATATGATCAAGAACCAATGGTATTGAAGGAATAAGTCCAAGCTGCACTGCAGGAACTGGCAATAAACAAGGTTCCAGGAACTGATGGAATACCCATCGAGATGTTTCAATAAATGGATGC